TTCCCTACATATTTTTATATTTTAAATCACAATTAGAGATAATATATAGCTACATAATTACGTAATTAATTTAGCAAATCGATTTAAACCTTTCAAATACCCAATGAGCAGTTTACATCATTTTAAATTTTGTAAAATGATGAAAAAAAATTAATAGATAAAAAGACACAATATATGCAAAATATACACAGTATATATATATATACAAGATATAACTTTTTTTATAACTTAGGTAGCAAATGGATGCCAAAACATAACTTTTGTGAAACAAAAGGAATTAGTGATGATTTGAGGTCGTTTTGGGTCTTCCTTTACTGCGAATTGAATTGTTCTTCTCCACTTGTGCTAAAGAGGGTCTCTCTCTCTCTCTCTCTCTCTCTCTCGAGCAACCTCTAATATTTACACCATCAATTCGGATGATTAATGGACCCATTTGGACCAACATACTCCATATTATAATTTTCAAATATTTATACAATTTGTACCAAAAAATATTATTTTTTTCCCAACCTAACCGTGCCATTTTTGTTGTTCCATTATGTGGCTTTCAGAACTTGAACTAGAAGTTTTTATTAGATGATTCTGTTGTTTGCTAAGTGAATCTTTGACGTTTTGTTTGATGTGACGGCTAAATGCCCTTTCCTTTTTTTTAAAAAAAAATTTCCCAACCAATGGGGTGTTTGCATTTTGAGGACTTTAATGAAGTCTGAAGGAAAAGTTATATTTAATGAAATAAATAATAGTTTAGACTAAATGGATTAATTAATTTAATCACAAGAGCATCGCACCAGGGAATGTCCTTGAAAAGTGGTCAAATGCATATATAAACAGTGTATTCTTGCACATAATTATGTGGGTGTTGATGAAATGTGGTTTGCTATAATAACGGCGAGACAAAACGCATCAAAATAGTTTATTTATTAATATTTGAAAACGCTGAGTAGGGTTTAACAATAATGACGAGACAAAACGCATAAAAAAGTCATCATCGTGATAATTAAACACATTTAATTTGTAAAATATGAGGAATTAACTAAGAAGAAAAACTAGAAACACTAATCTCACAGTCACAGACAGGTCAATGACATTAATTATTTCGATTTCTCTCAATCCAAGTGTTTTTGGGTAAAATAGGAAATATAATAAAATTTGGGCATAACTGGAAGATCGAGAGAAACTCTAGGAGCAAAAAAAAGAATTTGCAGGGCACTTTTTTTTTAAAAAAAAAAAAAACCGAAGACAGACAATCTCTGAAACTCCAAAATTGAGGGGTGGGCGTTTCGGGTTTCGGTTCGATATTCAAGCGGTTCGGTTCGGGAACGGTATTTTCGGTTTTATAAAAAGTGTACCAAACTAGAACTGAATATTAAACGGTTCGGTTCGGTTCGGTTTTAGTATCGGTTTCGGTTCGGAACAGTATCATTATATGAATACCAAATAAGTACTGAACTATAATATTTACACATATATTAGTGGAATATTCGAATTTTGGTTCGGTATTCATACGGTTCGGTTCGGGAACGGTTCATTCGGTTCCATAAAAAGTGTACCGAATTAGAACCAAACGTTATTCGGTTCGGTTCGGTATGGTTCGGTTTCGGGACGGCTCGGGTCGGTACTAAATTCCCGAACCGAAGTGCCCACCCCTAAAATTGATACCCAGTGGCGGACCTACGTGGAGATGAGTGGGGGCACTGGCCCCCACTGTTTTTTTCCTTTTAAAAATATTAGTTATAAAATTTAATAAAATTTTAAAAAAATATGTTAATGCCCCCGCTAAAAATTTCTCACGGACCCCACTAATTTGATTTTTTTCATATATTTTGTGATGTTAGTTAATAAAAAAAATTAGTCTATTGTTTTTTTGTTATTTTCTATTTTCAAGTTTTTTACTTTTTTTAGACAAATAAAAAATATTGTCAATTTAATTATAATAAAATAAAAACTAAAACAAAAGAAGAAATATTTGTAAAAATTGTAAATTTAAATAATCTTTGTTATTTTTTATTTATTTGTTTTTATATGTTTATTATACTTATAAATTTATCTGTATATATATTTATTGAATTTTTATTTGATTTAGTAGAAAGTTCAACCGATAATTTACTAAAAAAAGAGAATAAATCTTTTGATGATTGAAAATGAAAGAACCTCAATATCCTTCTGAAGCGGAATTAAAGAAGTAACCAACGATTTTGGGTTAGGCCTCTCCCGGGGCTCATATTGCAAGCATCTCGAGGCTATCCGTATTAATTCGGTGGCATCATCACTCGAAAATTGACCCTCCAAGCATGAGTCCATCAACATCTGAATGTTCCTGTCTCGTATTAGGTCCAGAGCCTAAGGTCCATCATACAAGTAAAAATAATTGATTAGCGAGATACCCGTTTGTGCTATAATATAGAACTACAACGTGGCCCTAAACATGACTTCAGGAAGAATGTGCCATAATCCAGGCCAATAATCATGTGGTATATATAACAGAAACACTCAGAAAATTTTTATATCCAAATGATGTCAGGAGATCTAACATGGCTTGGAGGAATGTGTTTTCCACTGAGAAGGTCGAGAAGTAGAGTTCCAAAGCTGTACATCACACTTTCTGGTGTCACGCGACCTGTAGAAAGAAACAATCATGCTGGCACTTAAACAAAAAGGCTATAACAAATCCGAAACACGAAACAATCATGTGGTATATAGTCAAATTAACCATGGCAGTCAGTTGCGATGATATAACACCGAAACACTTTAACAAAATATGAAAAGATTTCAGAGATCAACTCTGAATTGAAAGGAAATCGTCTTTTTTTTTTTCCCTCCGGCATGCACAGGTTATTTTGACAAAATAATACCTGTTCTTAGATACTCAGGAGGAGTGAATGCGAGATTGGTACTATAACTCTTTCCATCTCTACTGTTCTTCATTAAACCAAAGCATGACAGTCTTGGATTTGCCTCCTAAAAGAAAAAAGTGGATGTTTTATGTAAAACTGTACCAACATAATCAGAACAAAAAGCGTAAACACACCGACTTACATCGTCAAAGAGAACTCTGTAAGCATTTAGGTCATGGTAAAGTGCGCGTTCTTTGCTGGTACAATATTCTAGAGCCTGAGCAATATGTAGAGCTACTCTCATAATTAATTTAGCAAATCGATTTAAACCTTTCAAATACCCAATGAGCAGTTTACATCATTTTAAATTTTGTAAAATGATGAAAAAAAATTAATAGATAAAAAGACACAATATATGCAAAATATACACAGTATATATATATATACAAGATATAACTTTTTTTATAACTTAGGTAGCAAATGGATGCCAAAACATAACTTTTGTGAAACAAAAGGAATTAGTGATGATTTGAGGTCGTTTTGGGTCTTCCTTTACTGCGAATTGAATTGTTCTTCTCCACTTGTGCTAAAGAGGGTCTCTCTCTCTCTCTCTCTCTCTCTCTCGAGCAACCTCTAATATTTACACCATCAATTCGGATGATTAATGGACCCATTTGGACCAACATACTCCATATTATAATTTTCAAATATTTATACAATTTGTACCAAAAAATATTATTTTTTTCCCAACCTAACCGTGCCATTTTTGTTGTTCCATTATGTGGCTTTCAGAACTTGAACTAGAAGTTTTTATTAGATGATTCTGTTGTTTGCTAAGTGAATCTTTGACGTTTTGTTTGATGTGACGGCTAAATGCCCTTTCCTTTTTTTTAAAAAAAAATTTCCCAACCAATGGGGTGTTTGCATTTTGAGGACTTTAATGAAGTCTGAAGGAAAAGTTATATTTAATGAAATAAATAATAGTTTAGACTAAATGGATTAATTAATTTAATCACAAGAGCATCGCACCAGGGAATGTCCTTGAAAAGTGGTCAAATGCTACCTGTAGGCTTATGCCTACCAAAGAAAAAAGAGCGTATAAATTATAATAATAATAATATAAAATCTAAAAAATATGAACCCCTCCAAACGTGTGAAGAATTTTATTACGTATAAACTCTATTTATTTTATTCAGCGGTGTGCTTTGTTGTGTGGGGCTGCTGTCCTACCAACTTCCTCCCCCAAACGAGAACAATAGTGTCAAGACAATATATATATATATATATATGTGTGTACACATATACTTTCTTTTCAACAAAAGCATTTTGCTATGTAATTAATCAATAAATGATATTAGCTGTTTCTCTTCACATGAATTTTCCAGGGTTGGAGGAAAAGGCCCCAACATCAATTTTATCATGGGTTCATATATGCATCAGAATACATAGCTCTATAGAGTTCTTTAACACTACAAACCATTCTCACACCATAAAGAAGCACCGGAAAACTACACCGGAGATATGTTTTTGGAGACGGTGACGGTGACGGTGATCGCGATGATGATGGTGATCATGATGTTTCTTCAGGACAAAACAACTGTTTTTTCCCCCCTCAGAAATGGTACGGTCTCTTCAGATCAGACGTAGCGCTTCTTGAACAAATGGTGACGCTTGGAAGGGTCTTTGGGTTTCTTCTTCATCAGATGGCTGCCAGATTTGTGTCTTCCAGAGTTGTATTCCATATAAACCATTCCCTTTGCTCCCGACATCGCACTCATCGTTCCCATCGTTCTTCTCGCTTTCTGCAGAGCCATTCCGTCTGTATCTTCTTCCAGCAGTTCTAACCCGACCGCATCGTCCCCAGCGTTCAGAACCTGTTTCCGACATCGAAAAAGGACAAGGCTTTTTGAGCTCCGTTTCAAGATTGTTCAATCGGGTCTACTACCAAAATGAATCCCGGGTTCTAAACCTTTAAGAAAAATTATCACCGAGAATGGGAATAAGTTAACATGGGATACAACTGACTTCTATTTATGATATCGCGTGACCAAAACTTGGTTAGAAAAATCACATCTTTTCTTTTTTAAAACACGAAATCTTAGGTTTATTCTCGAAAATCATATCTTTTTCCTACGGCCTGGGCACATATTCACAGTGTGTAAATGATTTGATTGAGAAGGGACAGTGAAGAACAAACCTTAGCGAGAAGGGCCAACTGCTCTTCTTGGCTGTGGAAGCTTAGACTTGAACCGGCATCATTCGGTGGAAGACTAGTTATAACCTTGAAGCTATAACCTTGATCAATCAGGAATTGTTGTCTTTTTGTCGAATAGTACATTTCCTGCATTTTCAATCCGTAAATATGGTCCAGATCATGGAATAGCCAATGCATGATGAGTTCACTAAGTTCTCTGATTTAGGACAATGGATCTCTCCCAAATGAGAAAACACACGACCATCCGGAAATTGTCAGAACCAGAAATGAGAGAACTGGTTAAGAAGGCAAAGACGGTTTTACCTGTGTGTCTGTAGAAACAAGCGAGTAGAAGAAAGCGTTGTACTCTTCTTTTCCACCTGCCATCCTATCTTCAATCTTACCCTATTGATCACAAGTGGGAAATTTTTGTAATTAGTAAGCAGGAAAATATGATTTTATGTAGCAACGGAGTTACAGGGAGTATAGATGGAAATGTGTAAATCCGACTGACCTTAGCCCTAAGAATACGACCCAAACGCTGAGCTTCTTGACGTCTTGACCCAGCATGTGATGAAATCTGAATAATAACATTTGCTTCTGGAATATCTATAGAGTTGTCACCCACCTGTGGACATAACCGAATACACAATCATATTTCCAAAACGTATATGACAAAACTTTGAGAGATAAACCCAATCAAATGAAGAAGAAATGACGGACATCATTCCGTTTTAACAAAGTATATACCTTTGACAGGAAGATCGTGTTTACGTCCTTACTGGTCTTAAACGCCTCGAGAATTTTGGTTCGTTCAATATGGCTGTGCAGATGAACAAAGGAAAGGCTCAGATTGATCAAGCAGTAAAAAACCGAGAGAGATTCCAAGGAAGAAACAAAACAAAACCTGGTGGCACCATAGATCATGGGCTTCCGGAGTTTCATCGCATACTCCGTCAGCGCAAAGAGATTGTCTGCAAAAACAATAATCTTGTCCCCACGCTGTTGTTCATGGAAGCGTATGAGGAACTCACAAGCTCTGAATTTGTTAGGGTTCATTACATAAAGTGCCTGCAAACCCCCAACCAAACAACATTTGTCAGAAAGTTAGAAACAAAGAACTCGATGAAGTGAATTTCCCCAACTCAGAAATCATGGATACATTACTAAAATCCGAAGGCTGAGAAGCCCAACCAGCCCATCTTTATCTCTCACAGATTAAATATGTATGAAATCCATCCATTTTCACAAATGAAAGCAAAATCCATGAACCTGTTTTTTCTTGGAGTTCTCCTTCTTCAGATATTCAGCGAAAAATTCCTTGGTCATAGGACACCATACCTCAGCACACTGCACATTTGCTATAAACCCTCCTTTCACTAGATCAAGCCAGTTAGCTTCATACAGTTTCGGGCCAATAAGAAAGTTAAGATCCGTAATTCTTTCGTCTTCTCTCACAAGAGTAGCTGCACACAAGATAATAAGAAGAGACTCAGCTTGCGAGAACTAAGAGTGAAAGAAACAAAGAAAAAAAAGCCTAACAAGGACTGGAAAGATCAACAGGGCATTACCTGTAAGTCCCAATTTGCAGTGAGATTTCGTAAGACTGATGACTTTCCTGAACATATGAGCCGGAACAACATGCACCTGTTAATAATAATTCTGGTTATCTCTGTCACTCATGTAAGTTATACATGACTTCAAACAGGAACTTGTCCTATAACATCTACTCGGTAATTATTCCGATAAAAATAGCCACTACAGAATACTCAATGGAATTTCGCATGATCACCTACCTCATCCATAAGCAGCAATCCCCACTCTCTGTTTCTAATTTCTTCTATTATTTTCTCCGACTCCTCTGACCGTTTGCCACCAAAAGCAACCATATTGTAGGTTGTGACAACAACACCAGCATTGCCACGGAACCGTTCTTTACTGTCTGAAGTGAAACGGCAAATTTGATCATCTCTTATGGTTGACCATAACTTGAACTGGAAGGCCCACTGATCAACTGAGACAGCGTTCGTTGCCAAACAAAGACAACTCTTCTTTATACGAGCAGCTGCTGAAACTCCCACGAGAGATTTACCAGCACCACAAGGCAAAACTATAATCCCGGACCTTGCTCTTCCTGGATATTCACACATCTAAATCAGTTGTAGACTTTGATGAGAAATCAAAAGGATAAACATCTATCTAGAATCCTGACGAATTGCAGCATTTTCCACATGAAAGATTGCCAAATAATCAGAATTGCAGCATCCATACCATTCCCAAACATTTTACTCAGACTCTTCTCCTGATAAGGCCTCGGTTGCGCATGAGGCTTAAGTTCCATGTCGAGATCAGGATTAACCTAGAGGCCAAATCAAGCTATTAACAGTCAGGAGAATACAATGCATATCATATACCGGTCAACATAAAATACAGTTAACATGGTGCGGTGTGTTTTCTTACATTGTCGTTCCTGAAGTCGTATTCCTCTAACATAGGGTAGTTTAAGGCATTGGGCAAGCAGCGCTGTTTCACGTTCTCCACCTAATCAATCATCAAAAGCACAAAAAGAGCAAGTGAATGCAAGGTAATGTTAAAATCATAGTAAATTAAACATCCGTCAAACAAATTCCACTGACCAGATTAACAAAATACCTGAGAAGGGTCAATTTCAAAAGAGTGAGTTTCTTTCTCTTCTGCCGCAGCAGCCAATTCAGCTTCATTTAGCAACCCCCCAGGACCAGCTTCAAGTTCACCAGCTGTTTTACTGATTGTGAAACCATCTCCTCCATGAGAAGACTAACAAGAAAGTAAAGAAGCTGGTTCAAACCAACTGCATGTAAGACAATAATTACCAAGATACAAAAATAATAATGACAGTTTACAACTATGTCCTTGGAGATAGAATAAAAAATTCCACAGGTCAGTGTAACCCTTCTTGGAGAGAGTATCAAATATTTCACAGGACAGCGCAAACATTCCGACTAAGACTAAGAGTACTCAAAAGACATAATCTGATAATCCTGACAGAGAATTGGAGGCCTTAAGACCACAAAGCTGACCAGCTAATCAAATATATCTAGAGATAATGCCAGAAGAATGGAACCAAAGAGACAACATTAAAAACCTAAAAAGCAGTTCCACTTGAAGTAACATTTCCAAAACATGCAAAGAAATGCAAGATAACGTGATCTATTAAAAATATTATACCAACCTCAGGGGAAATCCTAGCTCGGCCAATAACATCATCCCTGAGAAGCGTTTTCAATACCTGCAAGCATATTAGATGAGTGAGAAAAGCAACTCAGACGGCAAACAAATACAAAATATAAATCACCAAAAAGAGAATAACTTGCCTCTGGAAATGGTGATTCAATTAAATATCTATTCTTCTTCAATACAAGCTTCACTTTGCCGTAGTTGGCAGTGGAAGCATGTATGAAGTCAATCATCTCGTTCGGGAGCTTAGTTTTAGACAGCTTGTTCAAAACAGAAATTATAGTTTCTGTCTCAAGACCAACCGACACAGCTGCATACAAAGAGTGAGGAGTCAAATTATACTCATGCATAGCCTCCGGCCTGAAAAAAAAAAGGAAAAAAACAACAGAATCAGACCAGAGTTCAAACAGAATTTCCATAACCATATGATCATCAATACACCAAACTCATTGTTGAGAACCAACTAGGTCATGAACTATACTTGGCAATCGGGTTAATCAATTTCCAGACTTGAACATCCCCGAGTCTCAATATACAAAAAATGCAATGAACACCACACGAGAAAGGAAAAGAGGACCTGCAAACAGGTTCGGCTATGGCGATGAGAAAATCATAGGCTTGTTTGTAAAGAGGAGAGAATGTCTCGAGGAAGATTCTCCCATCTGCACATGCCCACAAGGGCCTGTTTTCATGATCAGGCTTCAGTTCTAGTTTGCTAAAATCCATCTTCTTCACCTCCCCATCACCTTGAATCCATTACACTTTCTATTCATTCTTGTTTCCGATATATGTATGATTCATGTGTATATAACAGAAAAGAATACTACTTCTGGAACAAAAATAATCGAAATACCATCTCGAGAATCCTCATCGGCGTCATCACCAAAGTAGTAATCCTCATTTTCCGAGTTCATCATCTTTTGATCATCCTGAAATTCACCACGGAATACAATAAGTTGTTAAGAACAAAACCCAGTACACGTAACCTGCAGAACCCAAAACAAAATTGCGTCAAGAAGACGAAGGCGAACCTTGCCGCCGAATTTCATCTTCTTACTGGGTCTTCCTCTTTCACCTGAATCCAAAACAAAAACGTGAAAAATCATGGTGAACATCAACCAATTTGCAGAAGCCACTGTACAAAGCTGAGAAAGGTACGGAAAAATCGAGACAAAATGAGAAAATTAGGGTTGAGCTTGATTGGAAATGAAAACGATGGCTGATTCGACAAAGATCAACAAACAATGGGACGTATAGAATTACCATTTCCCATGATTAAGGCTGTTATTCTTAGGGTTCAGATCCAAATCGCTTCAGTTATATTCGTATTCCCCTTGCTCCGTTCTCTTATTTGGTATGTATGATCAAAGAACTCCGAGTTTTCAACGAACGCACAGACGTCGGTTTGTTATATAGCTGTCCTAAAGAAACGACGTCGTTTACATTTTAACCGCCTTAATACCATTCACAAAACATAACATGGGCCTGTTTTCTCTTATTGGGCTAAGCCCATTCAATGACATTATCACTATGATTGTTGTTTTTAAAATATTTGTAAATCATTTGTGAATGCCACTTTCGGCCCATTTGTAAAATTGGGCACAGAAGGTTGGACCAAAAAAGTCCAATATATATATATATATATACATATGTATATGTATATGTGCCTATATTCTCATGGAGATACATAACATTCATGTGATATCTGTCAAGGGTTTAATATGAAAAATTTTATTAGAATGAAATGAAGAAAATCTGGTGACAGTTGTAAAAATTTTGAAGAGAAAAAAGAAAATTGAAATATACAATAATATTTTCATGGATTCGAATACCAAGATATGAAACATATAAAGTATTTGTGTGAGAATAATCCCGTATACAATAAAACAAATGGAAAAATGCATTATTATAAATTTTGCCACCAACAAAGAAAAAGGTCTAAGAATGTTATTATAATTTCTTCAATCGAGGAAAGCGAAAATGGCAAAGTAACCAAAAGGAGATTATGAGCGATATCTTCTGGGTCCCATTGATCTGCAAAATCTACATATCTATACATATATACATACATACATATACACACACACGCATATGTAGGTACGTATGGTGTGTGTGTATATATATATATATTGTGTAGTGTGAGCCAGCTGCATGGCGGACTTCAAATCTAATTTCATTTTTGTCTAATAGTTGTCATTTCTATTGACATTTCAAAAGTTAACTCGTTTCCATATTCCGCCTGCATTCCCATCTTTTCTTCTTCTTTTTGTCTTAATATCCATGACAACAAATTTAGTATAATAATAAAATAATAACAATAATAATAATAATATAATAATCATGATGATGATGATGATGATACACAAATTAAGCTCAATCTTATAACATTTTGTTTTTTGTTTACATTATGCGAACGAATCTATTGCTTGAAAAAGCCGTTAAAAACTAAAGTTAAACAAAAACTAAATTAATCATGTATATATATATACACACGCAGTCACGACAAAAAAAAAATAACGTGAAAGCATTAGATAGGAGGACCGATGTGAGATCAAATCATGGCCGTTAAAATGTTGTCGGAGATACCGAATGCATGTCTCATCAGGCCCTGAAGCCTGTAAATTAATATTATCGTATCTAAATTTTTTTATTTGTCCGTAATAATAAAAACCAAAAGTCCTATCAGAATGTTTGACCGACTATGATTCATCTGAGCATATTTTATCTGATTTAGTGTTAGTTAATTTTGATCTAATTTGAATGGAATTTATGTATTTTCTAACATAAAATTTGTTTAAAACTTAATTTTTCTTCGTTACTTTCAATTTCTATCCAAATATTATTTAAAGATTAATTCGGGTGGGCCCATTTGCCCACCTGTATATTTTTCCCTCATTTACAATACGACAAAGCCCATGCATTAAAAACCAAGCCCCCATTATTTGTCTCCCAAGCTCCATATTACTATTATTATTATTATTGTTGTTGTGGTTATTGTTGTAAATTCATCTCGCCCCAAAACCTGTTCATTTATATATATATTTTGTGTGCGTCCAATTTAACAGTACAAATATGGTATTAAAATAATATGATTTAATCCTATCCAAATTGGAATTGATGATGGTTCATGTGAAGATGGGGAAGAAAATGATAGAAGTCACCAACAAAATGTATGATTAGATATATTTAAACAAAGTTATAGGTTCTATTTTTTTATTTTTACTTGAAATGTTGGAGTGCATGGTTAGATTCTCCCTTTTTTGTTACGATTACTATGAGTTATACAAGGAATGCGATTAAGTTCAAACAATTAAATTATATATAAAATTGTATAGGGCTTAAATTCGATTTTTAAAACTTGAATATTATTTTTAAAACCCAATAAAATACAATTTTAAAAACGATATAAAAATTAATAAATATAAATTTTAATAAAAAAATTAAATTATATAAAAATAAATATTACAAAAAACCCCAAATTTAAGGTCCGTTTTATTGGAAATAACCCTTTATGGTTGGTTTTGGTCAATCGGGCCGAAATATTATATATTTTTTTAAAAGACGCATGGCATTAGACTTGTGGAACACTCATGAGTGGCTAATTTCCCCATATTGGAAGCTTATATAATTCAATTAGGGGACTATAAAAAGTAAAAAAAAATTAAACCTAGACAGCTACATTGAAATTTATGACGCATTAAAAAGAAGATTTCGTTTTTTAATTTTATTTTTTTACGGCGGTATCCGATGGGTTT